GCAACTTTAACAGGCGTTTGGCTTACTCATTTACATTCACAGGCAATGATTCCCGCCGAAGAAGTTGAGTCTTATCCACCATAAAGTGGACATATGCGAATTCATATTTCCTCTTCAGTATGCGGTGCTTTTATGGGTACTCCACTTGTCGCCAAATCGCTTAGCTGGGCTGAATGAATGCAACAAAATTTTATTATTTTTCCTTAGAAAATTCATGACTTTAGTTCGCTCCAAAACGATCCAGGTTGTTAGTACAAAAAGTTGCCTGTGCCTTGTTACCACTCTCTTAGCTTGAAGACACTGCTTACTTCGTCCATCTCAGAGACTGGCGTCTGTCTAATGCGCGAGCACTGCATTGCTGGATGCACGATCCTCGGTTCTTTTGAATAAGGGCTGCAAGTTCCGAGCATCGACTCATGTATGTCGAGGTTATGAGAACATGAACAATCTGTTACCAATTGTGAACTAGCCACCCGGCTCCCCATTCGCTGTCACACGTAGAAGTGTTGTCTGCAGGCAGGATTGTCAAAAACAAAAAAACATTCTGAACATCCTGATCAACCGCACACTTTCGTCTTGAGTTCTTGTCTTCAAAATGCTCAGTGTTCTGTCTAAAACTCGGAAAGTGCACAGTAGGACAGACTTATATGGCCCCCCAAATGGGACACGAGAACAGGAACCGCCTGCAATAGGGGCGGTTTTGAGCCGACTCCCAGTGAAATTGGGGTTAGGTGTAAGGTAAGGGCTAGGGTTAGGTTAAGGAGTAAACTTAAAGATTGATTTAAATTCTGGGAAAATTCCCATATTAAGGCTGAAGAAGTCAATTGACAAACATATGTTCCCGGTAATTCATCGTCAGGTCAATACAATTGCATGGAGGATAAACTTGTGAGTTATGCCAAGCTTTAAATGTGTCTCAGGGAGCAGGGCTAGTTTGCACGCCGCCTGCATGACGGAGTCATCGTGTTAAGGGCGGTGGAACTGGGCTGGGGGGAGGGGTTTGGGTTAAGTTGTGAGCGCTGTCTGTGTACCAAACACGCGGAGTGGTGTGACCGTTCTCAGGGCCTTGGAGGACGTTGGTCAGGATCCAGTTTAAGGTTAGGGGTTTAGGGTAAGGTTAGGGTAAAGATTAGGGCAACGGTTTAGTTTTATATTTGAGTTATTGTGGGAGTTTGGACAGGGGAATATTTTACCCTTTCCGGAATTATGCGTAGGCCCACCTTTCTTACTTTCGCGGGGCGTTCCTATTCCCGTGTCCCGTTTAGAGGGTCATACAAGTCAGCCTTAGCAAGCACAATCACAACCCTTCCATGAATAGGTGGACTGAAGAATCACAAAAATATCTTTAACACAACACTTGGGTTCAATGAATTTTTATCAGTCGACAGTGAAGGTCCAGTATTTGTAGTAGTTAGTGACCACTTCCTGAAACTTGATACTGGTTTACGAAATCTAGTCCTGATAACAGTCGTGCGATGTACAGTAATGCGGTTCACCAAGCCAGGTGTAAACCAAACCAATCATTCAGAATTGAATATAAAGTAGCTTGATATGAACGAAGACTTGAGGGCTTAAATAATGCTCTGCGTTAATAGGTTAGTCGGAATTACATTTTCCCATCTCTTCTATACTAAACTGATATTAATAAGACACGAGTCTTCCAAGAATCGGATTCAGTTTGTTATAGCTAATAAGTCTCTTTTTTCTAATTCTGGTAAACTAGGCGTTGATTTGGTGGTCGCTTTCGAGAACTTTTATTCGTTTTAACAAATTAAAATATGCCACGTAGTCGGTAGTCAGCTGCCTCATCGAGTTATGCAGCACATTGTCCAACTACGATCAGCCTTTGTGCACTTGCATGTTGCTGGATGTTGTTACATAAAGCATAAAACAAATACGGCGTGATAGGTGAAAAACGGTATACGGGTGCGACAAGTAATGGACTATCATTTTCGCAGCTTTTGCCTTCCTCAAATTTGTTCCAGGGAAAAGTGGTCTCACATTCACTAGATTATAAATCTTGCTAAAATACGTGGTACATGCATTTATGTGTGCAGACTCCGGAAGATAGGAAATGCAGATCCAAAAAGCATTTTCTGTGAGACAGGATCGAATCGCCCACATCACGAATCTCTGCCGAATGCTCCGCCAATAGGCTACGCAACCATGACTGTCGAGTGGGAGGTTTGATCGATATCCTTTGTTTCAACTTGGCAGGCGAGCCTATTCTTCGTTCGGCAATCCTCTTGTTAAAACTTTATATCAACCGCCTTCCAGAACCCTACATTATGCTTTTTTTCTTAATAAAAGTCAGCTGACAAGTACGAACAGACTGTGGCAAATTGACGCTCACCGATCGGGCTACGGGACGTGCTAGTCCTGTTGTGTACTGATGCTCAAACTAGAGCCCTCGCAGGCAGTCGCACGGCGAGTGGGAAGTGTGCGTCTCGGCTCCGTCTCCATGTGGCTTCCGTGTTGCGTGCGTGATCCGAGTCTGAGACGAAGACGGTGCGTCGAACGCCGTGGCTCGGAAGACAGTCGACTGACGCCTCAACTCGGCCCTCGTAGCCTGGTATGCACTGGCAATTCTCCGACACCTGGTTCCTGCCAGTAGATGCGCTTGCGCTCCCGCTTGGTATATAGGCCGTGAGCATGACTAGTTATCCTCCTCCTTCTGGCCCATCGTGGTGTTGTTGGTTAAAATCCTGGTCAGTTGTTAAGTTGACCAGGGGGTGTGGAGTGGAGTGCCAAGGCGTGGGCACGGCCGCGCCGTCCACCTACGTCCTCCCCCGCCCCCGGTTTTTTGACCCTGTCTTGACACTAGGTCTAGGTGGGGGAGGGGAGAATTCGTTAGATGTTGTGCCAGTCCACATTCACTATAAAATAATTCGAACGCAAGTCTCTGTGCTTGCTTCACCTTGTTATGGAGCGCACGGCGGACATCGTAGGATGCGACTGTCGAACTCTCAGTAATATAAGTAGATAAGGTGGTACCGAGCCCCAGGACACAACGAGACTAGCATGTTCCATAACCCGATCGATGAGCGTCCCTTTTCCATAATTAATATTTCCGATCACGACCGACAGGACAAAGGACCCATGGTTGAATGGTAGAGTGTCACACTCAATGACCAAAGATCCCGGGTTCGAGTCTTGGGTGATCCAGACTTGGGGTTGAGCATGACCGGCTAATGACAATTAATAAGCCTGAAATGGCCACTCCGTTCTCCCTTGTCTTTGACGGTACCACCTTATCTACAAAAATGTCGGAATGGCGAGTTCTTCATGCCATATTTATGATGGCCCAGTTGTTCCCACAACTGCACTTGATAAATATTCCTTTTAAAACTGCACCCATTGTTTTTGCAAATAGTTAACAAAAGCCCGGCCTCCTTAAGTCGCTGGAACAACTGTAATTGAACACTGGCAGCTCATTCGGCGTTATGGTAAAATGGATTTACTGGTAGGTTTATATCATCGGAAATTTCCAAATGAAGATAAAGATGGTAACCAGCATGTACTTCCAGGTGTGCTGTGTGTGACCCTGCCCACCATCTCAAAAAACATGTACAACATTTTGCTAAAACTGGAATATTTGAATGATGCGTATCTGCTTTGGATGCGAACCTTACACAGAATGTTATTACCGACAAAGACAAGGGAGACTGGAATGGCTATTTCTGGCTTATTAGCCGTTGTCAGACAGTCATACCCAACCCCAAAGTGTGGAACACCCGAGGCTCGAACTAGCGACTTGTTAGTTCGAAGTCCACGTCTCTAACCACTTGGCCACGAGCCCGTTGCCCTGTCGGTTTCGATCGGGAATATACAATGGTAGGGGACGCTCACATTACACAAATAACAAACCGCACACATCTGTGTTGATCTAGTCGCAACTTTTAATGTGTTTTACCTCGACGGCCTGGAGGGACTCACCCACCAGAGAACTATGAGAAGACCCCATGCAGCTGTTCCTTATTATATAACACTCACCTTCCTTGAGCTCTATATATATTTACACAGGCCTTTGTGCATTTGATGTGCTGAATTTTATGTGAACCCTAAAATATACTCTCAGAGGTCAAACGATTCATTCATCACCATGGTCACATGAAACCCCACAATGCGCGCATATTGTTTCGACTGATATGACTGCTCCTAACTGCAACCAGGAAGGTAAACCATGATTTTATCTCAGTCAGTCCCAGTCCGAAGTTCACAGGCTCAAAATGACAGTGATATTTAGACATACAGTAAAAGTAAAAGATATAGGAAATATAGATAACGATTAACTTCGACAGAAAAAAAGTCGATCCGTCCCTCATTTTTATATTGAAACATTCTTGCTCGCTGGCCCCAACGGTTGGCTCTGCCGGGCTGCCTAAATCCCAATGTTTTAGCCGGATTTGAGCTGTTTTTTTTCATCCTCTTCCCCTTCTTTTGGTGTATTTTTTATTGAGGTTCAATTTCTGTGTTGCGCAGACTCAGCAACTTCAGTCGATTTAATTGTTGACTTTGGCCTCCACGTGGTCATCAAAGTAATTTGAGACAATTTCACGTCCTGTGTGACCTACGTAGATGGAGTCTAAGTTACTTAGTCAAATCCATATGTGAACTACAAACCATAGGTATAGGCTATGCACATTTTTGTATCCTACCTACCATCGAAACGTAGACCGCGAATTCAAGTCCTCCATGAATGTTTTTTAATTAGGCTGGGTGATCGACTTTACTGTTTAAAAAATTCCCACTCCTGGCTAACGGTGCTTTCATTCCCGCCTTGGTGACGCAGCCCTTTGCATAGTTAACAGCACCTAAAAAAACACTGAAGACGACCTAACGCAAAGCCAACGTCGGATTTGCTACACCATAGCACGCGCAGTTATCAATTGTTATCAATGACGACCCAGAACTGATTGGTTGTCGCGTCCCCACGTGAAAACAGGCTTACTTTCGCACAGACGCCACGCTGCCTACCATTATCTCGGCTTTCCCCAGCAATGCTGAAGCTTGTTGCTCTGGCTCTCCTGGTTTTCTTCGTAGGTGAAAGCAAACAAGACAACTTTTTTGAACCGTATCTGGCATGGTTTGGTCTCAAGGGTACATACATTCCTTACCTGAACGACGATGTAAAGGAAATAGAACGTTACAAAGGTATGTGAGAGGCTTGTTGTTGAAAAATTAGTAAAACCGAGCGTATCCTTGCCCCATTGACCTAACTGTTTGACAAAGTAATGAAGTTTCTGCTAACTTTATTTATTCATCGACTACTGTGTTGCATGTGTTTCCACTGATAATGGTTACTTTTTAACCCTAAAGCCTATAAGAAGAAGGCTCAGGAAGGATTGAGAAATCATTGTAAGTTACCAATTGCATTCTTTTTGTGGTTTTGCCTAAAAAAAACCGATCCCAGCAAAGACCAGTAGGTCCTCTCGATCTGTTTATCTTCATGAGTGCATTTATGTAAGAGAATGCTGGATTTACACATAGTAGAATAGCGTGGTCTACTGCGCAGTCATTTAAAAACTATAGAATAAAGTACACCATTTGTGCTTCCTGTCGAGTGAGTCGGCAGCTTGAAGTGTCAAAGGAAGATCAGAACTTTATTAGTCCCACTCTTTCAGACATGTTTTGGGTAGTGCATTGTCAGCCTTAAACATCACGTGTTCTGGCCTACCTACTGGGTTTTGTTTTAAAGACATTATGAGAATGTCAGACGCCCACCTCAAATTTCAAGACGATTATTGGAAATATTACGTAAACACATAAATTGGAGGGGGAGGGGGTTTTCCACTAGTAACTTTATAAGTTCTGGTTGCCTTACTTTCAGTCGCGAAACAAAGAGAACAAATGAGGAAGAAGTTCGAACTCTGAGCTACTGGAAGGCAGTTGAGCAATCGTCTCCCTCCGGACTTGTAAATTCCCATTATTCCCCAGGAAATTTGTATTGCAATAAAGTTAATTATGGAAGCGTTCACCTAGGAGCATTGCATCATTCTAGGAAGGCCAAATGTACAACATTTCCAGGAATTCCTCACTCCTAGAAAAACAACATTACAAAATTCTGCGGCAAATACTTTCAGCGAGTAAGTGGAAACAGTGATTTGAATCTCATTTTGCCCATCAAAACATATAACGGCGAAATTGAAACAAGAGACAATACACCACTTATGCTGATACTTTAGTCGTCAGCATTTAATATAATGAATGCTTTTGACTGGGCACGAGAATATGGACCACCCTCCCCCATTATTTTTGGTCCAGAGTTAGGGCTAGGTTTATGAGTGTTATTGTTAGAATGAATGTTGAGGTTAGAGTTAGAGTTAGGACACGGGAATAGGAAGAGCCTGGAATCTAACGCGAGGTCACATCTAGTACGGGAGATGTCCTTATTCCCGTGTCCGACAGTTTTTTTCCTCGAGACAGTCCACAGGGAAGATCAGAACCACGTTTCAGAGCGATTCTTGTAAAAACAGCCAGGCTAAATTGTCAGAATTGAAGAATCTACACCGACCTGATTCCTATAAGCAAATGAGCTAACTCAAAAATAGCTTCAATACCAATGAAAGTAAGCTCCTTGCATGTATGATTTATATCTTAAAAGTAATCTGCAGGCTGTCTTTAGCAATAACAATACGAACCGCACCAGCAAACCCCTTCGGACCAACTTGTCCTAACCAACAAAGTCGCGTAGAGGTGGCCTTCAACAATCCAGCTCTACTGTTCTGTCTTTTGTCTCTGAATTCTGGTGTTCAGATCCGGGAAGGCTGTCGGACAATGACAGACAGTAAGTTTCGACGGGACACTAGTGACAAGTGGACAAGAGAAACTGGAATGCGCATTTCTGACGCAATTTCCGTCATTTCACTGACATTGCCAAATCCAGGCCGGGAGTTCCTGAGACCTTGGTCCAAACATGGTGGGTCGGTCGGCATCACGTGAGGTCTTAATCAGAAATAACCACGCTTCAGCGCGTGTTACTGGGTAATCCCACACAAGGCACGCAGGAGTTAGCTAAGCTTTGGAGTTACGCGTAGTTGGGTCAAAAACGCAAGTCCAACAGACACTGCGATAGATTAACATAGAGCTTCTCTGGAAGATTTGAATAATTCAACTGACGCAGTTGTGAGGAACCCGGTAACCTTGTCGGGCTGCGGACTCGCGGTAAAAAGAGGGTAAAGTTGTAACGCAACCAATATTTTTACTATCTGGGCTGCGCGAGGCTAAGTTTTTCCCCAACGCTTATTAATTCTAACCTTCCTGATATTCATCCGGTGGATTGTAGATTGATTGCTTGGGAATACTTGCCTGGGCAGTCTACTGTATTATAACTGGTGGATTTCATACGTTCCAAAAAGTTCAGCTGGTAACTCAGACCAAGTGTAAAGAAATGCGGGGACGCCGGGCGCGTCCACGTAGTCCGGGCGTTGGCTGCACTAAAGCCCTGCCCTTTCCGTTGCGGGTTTGAACCTCGTCAAGGTCATCGAACTCTTCGCAGGTGAGCGCTCAGCTAAAACTACGAAGGACTCCAACTAAGCACATGTCGTCAACTTCGCCGTAGTACAGGCTGGATTCCAGGAACCTGGGTCCAGAGTTCATTAATGATCCTTCCCTAAACACCATGAGATCTGCGCGGCCTGCACGACCCAGGTGTCGTTGAAGTCCAGCTGTCGGTATGCTTCGCAGGGACTGGAGGCTCCAAACTCGTGTTTAGTCTGTTTAGCAGGCATACGCCCCTAGGAGTTAATTCAATCATGAATTTGGTGAAAATGTGCTCCCGGGGGTAAGAAAACCATGAGCGAGAGCGCGAAAGGCCGAACGCGCACAAACTTTACCCAGGGAAAATAGAAACAAGTAGGTCATACGGCTCGGTTAGTTACTACGAACCTGGATAATGTTTCAAACCCCACAAGTGCTTTTGAAATGGCATAAAAGTGTAGTTTACGTATCTCCAGGGCTCCACAATCGTTTTCAAGCGTAAATGTAGGCAGCTGCTGGACTGCCTGTCTAGTCACCATTATGGGCATACACGAAAACATCCTTAGTTCTAGAAAAATAGCACAGATGTGTATGCAGCCAGATCTAAACGGGAACTTACGACTGTCTGGTCAGGGTCAATAAAGTAGATTCACCTACTCATCGTCCCACTTATTCCCACACGGGCTGGCAGGAATTTACTGTTGGCTTTCGGTCGGCACCAAGCCATCCAACCGACATATGTTTTGAGGAACGCTGGTGCACGCAAGTTAGCTAAGCCTCTGAGATAAGGTAGTGGCAATTCCAAAAACTTACCCGCATTAGGACTGAAAGTCACAAACAGAAACTATGGGGAGGGGTCATCTAAATCGGTCTTCTGAGATATAATACGCCGGAAACCCCGAAATTCCAGTTAGGAAAGATTGAAGTATCTGGCCGAGAAAAGCTGAAATGTGGACCACAGTCAAGGTCTCTACACCCAAAGTAACTTCGTGAGGCCCATGAATACTACAGATTTGTCTAGAAAACGCAGAACCGGCGGTGTCGGAAAGGTAACAACAAAGAAAACCGGACGCAGAGCTATCAAAAGTGTGTTTGTGATTACTTTCATGGCATATACGCAAATAAAAGTCCCGTCAATGGGTCCAAATTACATGAGTTTTCATTCATGTGGCAGTTGGAAAAGGAGGAATAGGGGAGAAATAGAAAAATAGTATGTTAGGAAGAGCTCTGGAGATTAGCGAGAGATACTGAGACAATTTGCGCCAAAGTGCACCTTGCAGGTCCTATCCACAACCTCCTTGATGCGAGCAAACGCGGTGTACCAGAGATCGGCCGCACTGCCCTTCGTTGCCGTCGCAGGAAGGTGACAAGTCAGAAGATTTTGTAGATCCGCCAAGATATCACGAACACGCACCAAATTTGTGGGCACAATGGATGCGAGGTACTCGGACAACATGCAGACGTCCTCCTCCCCAGGAGCTGTAAAACAGCCGACAGGGGTAAGGAGACAAATGAGGGGAGGGGAAAAACCCACTCGTGAGTTGGGAGATGGCGAAAAATGAGAATCACGTAAAGATGCTGTGCCGGCAACGGCTTGGAGACTCAACAAATTATGGGTTTGCGGGTGAAATGAAGTAAGAAATGGCAATTAGGACAACAGACAACTGAAAGTTGATAGAGGAAACAGGGCTGATAGTATCATGCCTTGTCCTTGGGAAAAAGCCCGAACTGAACAACCCGACAGCATTCACGGCTTCTGAACGCGGGACTCCGTCCAATAAGGGCCTCGCTGCGTCCTGTGCCGTTCAAAAGAACCGAATGGGCGGCCAGACTAGACATTTAGCACTTCATACGTTGGGGAAAGAGGTCGAAAATGCAGTGCAATCTACTGACGCTCCTTGTTAACAGAAGTGTGTAGTCGCAGAAAAATCTTTTTACGGAGCCCAGTAAGATAGCTTATTCGTTGAAAGGTGGCCTCGACCATAGAGTACCCGCCGGACACCACAGAGGGGCAGAGTAAATGAGTGCAGGATACTGAGGCCTGAATCGTGTGAGGAATGTTTACTAAAGTAAGGCTGTTCCGGACAGCAAAAACCCTGATAAAAATGTATCATGGCCTGAAAGTACCCAGATCATAAAAAATAAATGTAACTAGTTTTTTTTTTAATTCCAAGTCTCTAACTGCGAAAGAACGAAACTCACCCGATACTCCAGAGACCCACGCGGTCAAAATGCCGCGTATTTCCTCTACCGACCGTTTGGCGAACACACTGGCACCGTCAGCGGCCACTTGGTCGTTTGTCATGGGAGGCGGGCGGGGGCACATGGACTCCTTAGTCGGAGAAGTCTATAATTCAAGATGCTTGCCTGATTAATTCACTGGGAGCCAAACAGGCCTTAATAGCGGATCGCAGGGGTTGCAAAAGTGAATCTGGGCGAAGAGACAAGTAAAGATGAGAAGATATTCTGGAGGTAACAAGGACAACAAAGTTTCGGTTAGTTTGGACGGGAGTTACCTGTCGCAAGAGCGCCTCCGGTCGAGCCCTACTGGGGCTAGGTGATTTCTGAGGAGACGGAGTTACTTTTACAGGGCTAATTTTCACAGCTGGAGGTTTAGTTGGATGCATTGGTGTTGAGGTGGAGGACACCATTGAACCAATGGATAACTGTGGCGTGGCCACTGCAACGGGACTGCGAAAGGCAGCCTCATCCTCTGAATTGCGACTAGTGCTCACCCGAGTGCGACTCTACAAAGTGCCGAGGAATGCATTTGGGTGGAGAAAGAAAAAATTGTGAGATTAATGATCGGAAAACGACAGTGAGGTTGTTATTTTGGCCCTGTATTTGCGATGACAATATCACCAGGTCGATGTCAGGCATATACAGCTGGTTGTAAAAAAACGCAAAAATAGCAGCCCCCAAAATGCTAACTTATCGAAACTTCGGCAGACTTTAATTCCGATCAACTGGGCCTCCAGAATTATTCCGCGAGGTAGGCCTGGGTCAACAGTTCCTCGGGGGTAGTCAGTAGCCGGCAGTAGCAGCTGGTGTCTGAAAGGGGACGAGGTAGCTAATTCCGCCGATAACAATTTTTGACACCACGTAAATGCATACTGTCCTAGCGGACATTTGAGACTCGATGAGCAACCCCCTTTAAAGGTTTCCTAATGTAGGTCCGCTCATTAGAATCAAGTTCAACTCTTGGTCTTCATTGGCAAAAATCGCAAACTCACTGGCACAGGCCTATAGAAAACTAATGATGAGACAAGTCATGAGAGGCAAGACGTCTACAAGTAGACAAAGCGGCCTCTAATTCCAAGGTTAACAGTAAATTTCCCTCAGTCCCACCTGGTAGCCCTTTCCTAAGCTCACTAATGCAACCTGGACGAATGCTA